CCTTGCACAAGTCCAGGTGGATGACGTCAACCTGGTGTCAAATGTGTCAATCCTTTAATTACGAGGACTTGTGGTCATACTGAAGCTCATTTCTCCTGCATAAGGATATTGTCCAAAGTACAACTGGATAGGAAGACCTCAGGAGGATCTAATCCATGTGTTGGGAAGTGGTTGGACTCATGTTAGAAGAGCTACCTCTGCAAAGTCCTGCCTCTGTTCTGGTAGCTGTCATCTTTTGCATTAAAAGTAAGGCTTCAGAGGGACTAGTGAACAAGGTTAAGCAAAAGTCCTTTAATGCCAAGTAGTACTGAGTCAGGTATTAATGCAGGTAGTTCCCTTCAGAGCAGTTGATCATCGTTGTGATAAGCCTCTGAAGCCATACATTGATTTTTAGTACTGAAGTGACCAAACTGTTGTTGTTATGTTTCTTCAGCCTACCCAGCCCTTCCTTTGGTAAGCCTTGGTACGTGTGGAAGGCAGTGACTCTCCCTGTTTCAGACAAGCTGCGCTGTTGTTTCTTTCCTGTGAATGCAAGGTCGCTGGTACGGTTTATCCTCTCCAAACCTTTTCAGACTCTAAACTATCTGGGTCGCTATGTGGAAGTTTGTTATTATCCTACTGTCAGCATGTGTTACAGAGCTGTAGATGTTTGGGCATGTTCTTTGAATCAATATCCTTAGAAATAAAGCTTTATCTTAAGTTCAGAAGTGAACACCAAGGAACATGGATCATTACTAACTACAGTGTCCAGTGTTAACTTCAGGAGCTTCAAGATGCAATGCTGTGATAAACTGGGACGGACTGTGAAGCCAGTGGAGAATGCACATTATTTATGGCTGATGAAAACATGAGGATAGCAGCAACAGTATTAGGCTTTTTTTTTTTTTTTTTTTTGTGTGGGAGGTCAGGTATGAAATGACATGTTTCTGTGGACAGAGAAATTTGACACGCACTCAGCATTGAGGGCTGGGAAGCAGATAGATTTTCTAGACTTCATCCTGAATTATACAAGCACTGAGACTGGAGGGCTGAAATTAGAGAAGGTCTGGCTGTTGGTCTTGTTCCAGTTAGCGTGCTTGTGACTCCATTTCCTCTTCTGCTGGTGTTATGCTCAGTCAGCATGCTGACTCTGCGTCTTAACCACTAGTTCTAGGGAGCTCAGAACAGATGGGAAGCTTGTTTTAATAATAGTTTTGATGCTCCTAACCCAGGTGCTCTCTGGAAACACTTTGCTGTGTGTCGCTTAGCAGCTGTTTCTATGCAAAAGAAAAGCATCCCCTAGACAAGCGCATGTTTTGTCTCAGTTACAGTCCTCAGCAGACGACCAGCCAGAGTACTGAGACCTTAATGCATGGATTTTGTGTAACAAGAAAATTCGATTGTGTTCTCACAGGTATTAGAAGAATCTTCAGGGCTTATCCCTCTCACCTATGTGGTGAGTCAGAACTTTCGAAGGAGTCTGTCTCATGAAACAACTGCCTTCCCCCTGAGATGAGAACTCCATATATTTAAAAGCTAGCATCTGTTGGGAGTTGTACCAGTGAATTCATGTTGTCCAGTCTGGTGGTCTGAACATGTGAACTGCTCTCTGTTCTTCCAAGGCAGACAGAGTGGGCAGCTGGCTTATCCAAGCTGTTAATATCAGCCTGAGTTACAGACCCTGGCTTAGTTTTCAGTTGCAGCCCTGTCAAGACAAGGTGAACAGCCACAGCGTCCATCTGTAGTGCAGATGGGACTAAACTGAAGGACAGTGAAGTGTGAGCATGTTTTCTCTGTGGGCTTTAGTCTTCATAAGCCTGTTCAGCAGAACCATAACTGCCCAGGTCAGTGGTATCTGCAAACCTGCTTTGTGGGAGCCTACATACCAACATGAAGTGATGCTCAGGATGGCTGCTGTAAGGCAGACAGGTGCTGTTAGCTTTGTGTGCTTCTCAGACCAGTTCTTGATGGCTCCTGCAACTTGCAGAGGAGGAACAATCAAACAAAGCAGGTACCACTTTTTGGATGTAGAAGTCCAGCTATAAGTGGACTCCACTTATATAAGTCCAGTTTCAGATATAGGAGTCTAGGTTCTCATAACTGAAAAGTTGGGTTTTTTTGTTGTTTTTTTTTTTTTTTTTGGGGGGGGGGGGTGTTTTTTTTTTTTTTTTTTTTTTTTTTGTTTTTT